GTCTTCTCAAGATGAGACTTTTCGATATTTTTGGAACTTGACAATACTGTAGTACATATTATAGCCAGCGATTTGTACTTTCGTATTTAGCTCGTAGTGTTCATCCGAGTCCAATTTCGGACATCGGAAACTTGGGTTGACCGAACACCCTTGAAACACACGCTTCGCAATGAGAAGAACAAAATGTTTGAATAACCAAGCACGACCACGTTGAAATGCAGATAGGAAAGTAACGAGGTGTAGTACTTGAAGAGGGGTTCCATACCAAGTAACAGTTGTCTAGGTAACAATCTCAGCGGTGAAGTTTCCTTCAAGTATCTGCGATATCAGTAGAGTTTGTCGTTGCATAAGTTAGATTGATGAATGTCTTGTTTGTGAACTGTACAATTTGGCCATCTTGCTAATCCCATTTTTGTGATAACGCACCTAGCGGTGTCGTGGGTGCATAGATTCCCATGTCGAAGTCGAGGTTCTGGATTTCTTCCCAACTAATCGGTGAAGGGGGTGCCACGTGAGCCGCCTGCTAGAACTCAACGTGATAGAATACCGTAACGAATAGCAGGTCTAGGTTCACACAAACATTGCTGTAAAAGTCTGAGTGGCTCCTTGCTATGGATGATCTTATTCATTCTAGATGTTACCGGATAGCCTCCCCCGAATTGGCGGAATGAAAACACGAGGACCCAGAAATCCGTCTCCTGGATTTTTAGTACCCGTTTCTGCCGTGAAGTTGTCTCATTTCATCAAGTTTAATTGGATGTCAGTGCCTCGAAATAATCAAGGCGGATGATGAGGGACATGGCAGATTTATACCATCCCTGAATATTCCACTCACGAAATGTGAAAAGAGACACCAGAATTGATTATTCATTGCGTTTCTTTGCATAGGGAATCCACTGTCTCGGAGGGCATTGACCGGTGAAGGATGATTTCGGCATTGGGTCCAGATTAAGTTAAGTAGGCCCGTGGATTTGATTGGGTAGAATGCTGGTATAGTCTGGTAGAAGTCATGGAAGGTTATCAAGACGGCTTCTATGCTTTCGATATGAGGGGCAGAAGGAGCCACACCTAGGTTGGGATCTGTATGTTTCTGCAGGAAGAACTTTTCTAAGTTTTGCTTCAATGAGCTTCTTCACCGTTGGTTTGTAACAACATGGTCCAATGCCGCGACTTTGTTGAATCAGTTTTTATGAGCATGATTAATTTTGATAGGTCATTACGAGCCGTCCCGACTCGGGTGCTTTGTTGCTGTATGGTGCAATGGTGCCCTCACCACTGATTCACTGACCGGGTTGTGAAATTGTGCATCCAAATCACACAGGAGACTCGGTGGGTCCGGGGAAGCGTTCCTAGAACTAGGACCAAATTAGAAAGGATTTCAATGCGAGTGGATGCTGATGATGGTTTATTCGCGTACCTGGCATATCGTTTGTCCTCTAATCGCATAACGGGATCATCCATCAGACTAATGTCTATATGTTGATCACAAATTGTGATTTAACTTGGATGGACCGTCGAGCATGAAATCATGATTGAATTAATTGGAAATGAAGGTCGACGAACACAGCCCACGAAAGAATAGAAAATAAAGAGGCAGTAGCTACAGTAACGGATGTGTATATTCTGAACCAATGGGAATCAGCCAAATATTGGAAACGCAATATTGATTATCATGTACGTTGCAATCAAAAGCAGCGAGGGTTCGTGAAATGGGTATCATGGCGGTGAGATCAAAAGCATAAATAAAATACAAGAAAGGCAATAACATCGAGTTTACGGCGAAGAAGATGATAGTGGGCTGACAACGATTGAAGTTCTGCGTTGTTCCTTACCAACATTCCCCGCTCCTGGTAGAGGGGTAAGAGGAGGGGGGGGGGGGGGATATTTACCAGTGGGTTAAGAAAAGAGTACATAATTGCATAGAAAAGAAAAGAAAAGAAAGAAAAGAAAGAAAGAAAGAAAGACAGAAAAGAATTTTCGATTTTGGGACAAGACTTGGTGATGAGCATAAAAAATGATAAAAAATGATTGGATGCGGGAGTGACTTGCTTTTTTTCGAAGGTACCCGAGGAGTCTCCAATAATGATAATCTACATCTTTCTTGCAGACACTTTTTTGACTTTTTCCAAGGTCCACAGGTTCCAATGCCCCCCCATCCCCCCAATACCCAATGCCAATGTTCCAATGTTCGATCGTGATATTCTTAGATTGAAAGCGGGCAAGCCGTGTTAGGTAGTTTGACAATTTCCTTTGCAATTGAATGGGCTGAAGAGATGGGCTGTGATGGCAGGCCTGTGGGAAGCGGCCAACTGGTGGGATGTACTGCGTACGTGGGGTTACAACTTACAAGACGACGCGAATAGAACTTTATTCGCGGTGAATTATCAACAGCTGTTGCGCTGTTGCGCTGGCAATTACAGCCTTCGACTTAAGTTGGGTGCTAGGTAGTCATGCTAGTCAGCAATGTCAGCATTGTATGTAGACTTTCATATCTCATACCGACTTTCGAAGTTTCGAAATAGAATAGATAAGATGCTTGGGACCTGGTATTCCTATTTCGAGGGACTGTACCTAGGTAGGACGGTGTACGGTGAGAAAGGGCGGGGAGGATTTATGTGGGAAGGGGGGGTTGGATATAGGTTAAGTATTATCATGCTTGACTCGTAAGGTTCAATCAATATCGAGCGAGCACTAGACAGGTTGGGTGGGTAGAGTGGGTATTCGAACCAAAGAGACTTGATCTCACCTGGTAAGAAGTGCTGAGCATCAGGATGATAATACTCTCGTATATAAAAATCGATATAACGTACTTTTACCAAACCAATGTAAATGTAAATGTAAATGTAAATCCTTAAATACTGTGTAAATACTATCTATCTACTCAAATCGAGTCCGGCAGATCTCATAATACGTACTAGGTAGGTAGATGGCAAGTATCTACTACCTAGGGAAATAAATCAAGGCTTTTTTTGCCATCTAGAGATCCCATGATCACTGCTGTAGGATCGTAATCAGTCTCAAGATCAATTTAGAATCGAGATACCTCCCACCTACCCACACACTATCCCTACCCCTGGGCCCTAGCTAAAGAAGGATGCAAAGCCAAATACACGCGACACACCATACGAAATATCAATTGCAATTTGCAAATCATACCTACCATAGCATAGCATAGCATAGGTATAGCATAGCAAACCTAACCAACCTTACCTTACCTTACCAGATCATATGAAATCTAAATCTAAATCCAAGTTTGAATTCAAATTCAAATTCAAATCCCATCCAATCCCATTTCTCTCCTACCTTCCCTAGTACTACCACCCAGCAGTACCTGAGCTCATTTCGCCCCAAAACCCTCCAAGCTATAAATAATAGATCGGATGGCAAGATCAGTCATTGAACAGCAAGCAACAACAACAAAACTTGACTCCCTCCTCCAGATTTGCGAGCCCCATCCAGTTTTCGAACCCAACCACCGAGCCACCTTAAACATTGCGAATTATGCAACAAGTAACAGCTGAAGTTAAATTGGGAAGTGCAGCAGTGCAGTGCAGTGTGCACAGTTCAATTAGTTGTACGTACCTACTACCTAGGCTAAATATTCTGATTCAATTGAACCCAATAGCTCTCGCAAACCAGTGCCGCTCTTATCGTGTTGATTTCTTCCCTTCGGAGAAGAAGGAGAAGAAGAAGAAGAAGAAATTAATTGATGTTCGGGACTAAGCAAAATAAGAATAAGAATCACAGTCAAAAGTAAAACCCTGGCATTAATCATTCAAAGGGGGGTGGCGGCGCGATCTTACTGCGCGTACCTACTCTATCGAGCATTTAGCATCTACTTTATCTTTATACCTCCACTATCACTTCTTCCTTCCGACGCGACATACCTTGATGCTCTTCCTCCTTTTATGAATATTTCCATCACATATTGATTTAGGTATATACCCAATAGGTAGGTCCCGAAGCATGCACACCAGAGGATATTTGATTGCCGGATTCGAATAGGATTGATTACGTTGGGGTTTGGATGGGGTTTAAGTTTGAATGAGAATATGAGGAGGGGCCATATAAGATGAAGAAGATGAAGATGGTATTTGGATCTAGATATATATACAAGGGCATAGAAAAACAAAAGAACTGTGTACCGGATGATGACCTCGTACCTGGTACATTTCAACTTGAGCATATACATAACTACGTGACCTGATACCTAGGTATTCTAGCTCTCGTAGAATCTGTCTACTATCTCGATTTCATACAGGTTATGAAAGGACAAGGACAAGGACAAGGACAAGGACAAGGACAAGGACAAGGACAAGAACATGAACATACAAGAACATGAATATACCTACCCCATGAACATAATCATGAACAAGACCAAGAATAATAATATGACCTACCTGGGTAAAAATAATCATTTTTATTTTATTTTTTTGCATAAGAAATTCCACGCTAACTCGCTAACTCAGCGGGTTCTCTGTGGATGATCCACACCCACCTTGACCTTTCACTAAAATTCCCATCATTCCCCCCTCCCCTCTCCCATCCCCTCTCTTTTAACAGCTTTCACCCCTCATTCATTCCATCATCTTTTCATCAAACACACTCTTGTTTTTTCTTCAAATTTTTATCAAAACATTCCTCCTTAGTATTTCGTGATTGTCATTCACACACTTAATTCTCATTTCATCAACCCCTCGAGAGACACGGAACCCTTGGATATCTCGATCTTTCGTCGACGCGACTCCCGTGGTTTTTACACTCTTTACACAATTCCACACGGCCTCTTCCATCGAATCAATACTCCAAATATCCCCATCCATCTATGACAATAAGTCCACATCAAATGAACAATTTATACATCAAGCAATACACACTTTAAACCTTACGCTCCCTCCTCCGCGAGTCAGTCGATATTCAACCATCGATCTGTAAATCATTTCGAAGCTTAATATCGAGTGCGAAGCGTGTAGTCAAGTCAGAAGAGTTCCTCGAACACGATGCCTGTCGCAGCCTTAAATATCTTGCCTGCGGGTGCATCATCAACGTCAACAATAAGGAAGTCGTCCCTTGTTCCGGAGAAGAAGTACAAATGTCAATTTTGTAATAGAGCTTTCAGCAGGAGTGAGCATCGTAGTAGACATGAGAGATCACGTAAGTTTTTGGTGTTCCTTACACTCCTTTTAGCCCCCCCCCCTTGAATCGAATCGCGTGGTTGATTTATCAACACTGGATTGCGACTACGATTACACCATTACAATTCCATCGCGACAATTGAATAACATATTGACATCGTCGTCGCAGATACTAAGGAGCGTCCATTCAAGTGCATGAAGTGTAGAAGTACCTTTGTGCGACGCGATTTGTTGCTCCGACATGACCGAACCGTACACGCCAAAGATGGAGGTATTCCTTTACATAGTGATGTAAAGCGACGTGCCGGCCCCAAGGCATCCGTTGTATCCGGCTCAGCCAAATCAGCCATCGCTATTGACACATCGGCCCTTGAACAGATCGAGGCCAGTAGTGATGGGTTAGTTGACCTAGAGACTGCTGCCATGTTGATGACCGACCTTCACCACAAAGCTACTGCAGCAATGCGCAACGCAGGCGTAGGCCCATATGAGAATAGACCTGGAATGGCTTTCTCTCATAATGGAACTCCGCTCATGGAACCATCCGTCACATATCCTTCGGGGGCAATTTCGCTTCCCCAGGTCCCGTGGGATTCTTTCATGCCGCAGTCTGTAACGGAGCCAAAGTCTCATTCAATTACCTCGGGTGCTTCCGGTTCTCAAGATTCCCAGGCGTCTTATACAAGCGGTAGCACGATGCAGCCTCATCCTAATCAGCTTCCACCTATCGTAAAGCACAAGGCGTCGTCAAGCTATAATGGACTCGTCCCCGCGTTACAGTCCATGATCGATTCATTGCCACCCTCAATGGCGTCCACCCCCCAATTGTCACCAATACAGCCCCGTTCTGAAGCAGCAGCGATGAGAGCACCTCAAGTCACTGGCGATGAAGAACGCAACATTATCTTGGATAACATCCGTGGCCACGATAGTGAAAGAGCAATTCCAGAAGGCTTCCGTCTACCCCCGTTAGCATCGTTGAACCGATTTCTTTCGACGTACTTCAGCTTGTTCCACCATCACTTACCCTTCTTGCACCCTTCGACCTTTAAACCAACGCAAGTCTCACCACCACTTCTTCTTGCTGTGCTATCCATTGGTGCTCTTTATGCCTTCGATCAAGATCATGCATACATGATGCACATTGGCTCCAAGGTTCTCGTAAATCAGTTCTTACAAAACAAGGAGAATTTCAGCTCACGCAAGTGTCCTTTGTGGACCATGCAAAGTTCACTTCTCAACATGATTTTCGCAAGCTGGAGTGGAGATCCAAAGGGGTTGGAATGGGCTTGCTCGATCAAGAGTTTACTTGCTAACATGGTTGCTGGTAATCGTTACGAGCTGAAGCTTCGCACTGACGCTCGAGAAGGAGCTGCGCCTACCAGATCCGAATGGGTGGAAGATGAGGGCTGCCGACGAACGTACTATGCAGTATATATCTTCTTTGGCTTACTGACATTGACATACAACCATACGCCTGCTATCAGCTTTAACGAGTTTGAAGATCTACAGCTTCCCTCGACTGAAGCGATGTGGAATCTTAATGTTTCCGACGAAGCTACCTGGAAAGAACACCTCAAAGCTGCCGATATACCATCATTCATGGAGGCTCACGATAACCTCTTTAAGGGCGAATCCTTACGCTACAGTGCTTTCGCAACTCGTGTTATGATCAATGCGCTTTTCCTTGAGATCTGGTACCATAAGCGCAGCCCGGAAGCACTTCAAGATATGGTCTTGGAATTCAAACTCCGTCTTGCATTGGAGACCTGGGAGAAATCGCTTGACCTATGTGAGCCAGAGATTGTTTCAGTTCCACTCAATGCCCCGCACAAAGGACATCCATTGATCTTTAATGCTATGGCCCTGTTCCGCAATGCTAAGGCTCGCCTTGAGGTTGACCTTAAATCGATTCAAGAAGTTCTGAGGTATCATGACTCTTATGAAGTTGCTGCTGCCATGTCAAATGCTAGGGACAAGGTCAAGAGGTCCAGCGAGATGATCAAAGTCGTTCAAGAATGCTACAATTGCATTGAAACTGCAGCCGTTCAAGGAATTCGCTGGGTTGCTAGGACGTCGGCTACCAACTGGAGTATCGAACATCCTCTTTGTGGCTTGGATCTCATGGTGATCCTCAGCTTGTGGCTCTATCGCCTGGAAAATGACGAGGAGCCTCCGACTGAGGAGGAATTGGTCATGCAAAACAAGATCCGAGCCCTCTTTGACGATGATTCTGTAGGCTATAGCTCCAAGCTTAGCTCTACCGTCGCTCGTGTCTGGGGTAGCATGCTTGATGAAGTTGTCGTTTGGGGGTAAGTCACAACGTTCATCGTCACATATACATCATACTGACATATTATAGAATCACAAAACTCATGGGTGACTCCTTCCGACTTCATTCTCAAGCCCTTGTCGGCTACGAGGATGACATGGAAGTATCGGACGTTTCAACGCCCTCCATGATTTCTCAAGGAATGGATGACGCTGACGATAGCGTGTACTAAGATTGAGTTCCTTTTTTAATGATTGCTATGATTTCCTTTTATTTTCCTTGTTAGACTCGGTTTTGATATCCCTCATCTCTTTTCATCTCACACTGTTGGCTTTGACGAGGGTCGACGGTATATCTCTGGCATTTCCTTTTTCTTTTCTTTGCATATAGCGATTTTACTTTCGGATATTACTTTTTTTTCATGAGCAAATCTTTCTCGGGGTCACGGGCAACAATACGGGGCTGGTCGGGCATACTGGGCTTTTCTTCACTTTCGTCTCATATATCATCGCGCTCTCGCGCACCTAATGTCTCTACACTCATACTCATGGCTGGCCCACTGGTGTTGCTTCTGCCCTTGTCCTATTAGCACTACCAATTTTTAATTGTTTTTGTTTCTCCTCTCCGTCATCCATTTCAGCTCAGATACCTTATACCTTGTTCGATATACATCTGGTTTTTGAGTTTGTTTTTACTTTCTATCTTCTTTTGCGCTTTCTTGGTCATAGTTATTTGCGAAATGTTTTGATGGATTTTATTTGCATGAAGGAGAGGCGGAAATTGGAATTGGTTGGTTGGTTAGCACTTGAGAAAAGGCAACTTGGGCACGAAAGGTTTAATGTCACCTGATGGTGAATGGTGATTGGGCTGATCGGTGTATGTATAGATAGTCAGTATCTCAGCATTCTTGGTCTTGATCGTAGCTTCTCTGGCAAAACGAGGCGGTATACCAGCGTCTTATCAATCAATATTATATGTCTACTCCCACACCTCGTCTTCTGACCCTTTAAAATTCAATACGCAGTGAAACGTGACGTGAACAACAGCTTACGTGGCGGGTGGTGAATGCATGTAGCCGAGTGAGGAAGTCTATACCATCTCCAAAGCCTAGCTTTATCCGTCTTTCTGTTATGCCTAGTGATGACAAACGATCAACCTGTGAGCCCACAATCAATTTCCAAATCGACGTAGGAATCATTCCAAGTTACAATTTTAGTTACAAATGTGTGCAATCGGAAGAGATTAACATGTAGTCTCTTTATTCTTTGGGTTCTGATTGGGTAAATATGTTGTGTTCATTCGACGCATCAAGCAGTCTCATAAAACGATCTTTAGCACCTGCGCCTCGGGATGGAAGTTATCAAATCTAATTGCTGTACATGTGATTTTAGCAAGACACCCAATGAAGTAAGAGTAGACAGACAAGCAAGTAGATTCTGGGAAAGTCTTGGATTTCTTAGCTCATTTTTGAACATTCGGTCTTTTGTTCGATGTATCTTCATCATGACCCAGTAATAAGTGAACGGCGATGAAAGATGACGGGACTGGCTACCAGTGTCTAAAGTTAATTCTTTTGACAGTTTCATGTATGATATGCGGGGGCAGGGGGCGATGTGATTTGATGTTGGAGATAAATTTTCCCTCTGATTTTTCGCCTGGTTTTATTGGTTGGCTGGGGATCAAATGGATGCAAGTTAGTACAATATGTAGCTAGAAGCCAATTATTAGTATCCTCTAGAGCAGAGTGTCAATAAACGTGATTCATCACTTCCACTCAATGGATGATTTCTCTTTTGATCTTATGAACTTCTTTTAAATCTCTGCCATGATAGAATTCGGGTAACTAGAGCATCTTCGCTCTTATTCAGCGCAGACAATGGAGTGTTTAAAGACCTCTTTGTCTTCCACTGATGAAGTAATGATTCAATCTGTGCAACATTGAGCCGTGTTGCCAAAATCGACATCGTTGGGTGCAACACAGATTTGTATCACATCTATCTCCCGATCACTATGCAATACCATCTAGGTACGTGGAAGGAATGAAGTGAGTGGTAGCAAACACTCATGTACAAACGATGGATAATCGAGCATCAACGAATCTTAATTCTATACTGTTATGGGCTCACAAGGAAGTGTTAGTGGGCAGATGGATATGGAGAACAGTGAGGGTCAGAGTAAGAGAAGGGAATGGAAAGGACAAAAGAATGGAACCCCGTGTGAGGAGTGAACATGGAGGGGTTTCGTTCCTGCATTTGATTGGTGTTATGTTATGTTGTGTTGCTTTGCGTTGTGTTGCATACCTACCTTACTAACAACATGATTATGATTATGATTATGATTAATATAATATATAGGTGCGTATTTACCAAATTCTTCATTGGATTCACGCGCAGAAAAATCAAAGTAGGTAGATAGGTAGGTAGGCAAATCATCCAACATTTATAGATGAGAGTAGTAAATGTTTATATTCATAATCATAATCATATTCATATTCAAACTTACATGCCTTCCGCTTCCGCCTCCACTTCCAGTCTTGATTTCGAATTGCTCTTGCTTTCAACTTCACTTGCACTTTCACTTACAACTCACAATACTTTTGATACACCATACGCTCTTTCTTCTTCCATCACTCTCTTTTTGCTCACTTGATACACTTTCGTTCATTCTCTTAATACAGACTTCCATCAGTCATTTACCCTTCTCTTTCTCAAAAACTACTTCTTTCTTTAATAATAAACCTTCGTCCTTCCAATGCTCACTGCCCGGTATTCGTCAACTCCTCATATTCACGACCACAACAACTACTTGTTCACCTATAATGCCGCCGTGGTGATCTTTTCATATTGAACCATCTGGAAAACGCTATCTTCCAACAAGTACAAATCAAACACTCTTTTTCCCATTTGACTTTGTACTTTCTGTCCCGTTCAGTCAACGGGTGAATTTTCACTTTCATCTCAAACGCAGTGCGATTTTGCGATAACACTACAACCTGTACATCAAGAGAAGATACTTGTTTGTTTTCGTTGTACCACCAAATACCTTGACCGCATACAATAATAATAATATCATCGCAGAAGATTCTGTCTCATTTAAAATGCGCGGTTTGAATATGCGGTTCATTATCCCAATAGTCCTGTCCTTCGCAGGCCATGCGGCGGCAGACTGTGAATGCGGCTACTCATCCTCCATCGGCGGCTCTGTGGAACCCTACATCTTTACTGATCTTATCGAGTCTGACTTCTTGCACACTCCCAATATCACTCTTGATACGGACTGGAAACGACAACAGTTTAATATGTCGGCTGCTGCTGCACGTGGTCCTTACGGTATGAACTACAGCATTGAACAGGTCACGTCAAATCCTATACTTAATGAGAATTCATGGTCTGGAGATGGAGAATTTGGTGTTGATCCCGGTGTACAGCTCACTGTTAGTGGAGGTGATCCTGCCAATGGATTTGTTCAGACTGCGGAGATAGATTCGGCCCGTGAAGATTTACTCTGGGGAACATATAGAGCTGCTATGAAATTGACCTTAACTCCTGGCACATGTGCTGCTTTTTTCTGGGTGAGCTCTTCTTGACCAAGCAGGTACATCTATGATTCAGATACTAATTATGGGTCAGTACTTTAACGACAGCCAAGAAATTGATATGGAGTTTCTTTCTTCCCAATTCAACGTCGAAAACAACACATTTCCTGTCAATCTTGTTCTACAATCGGTGCAGTCAGTCCAAGCTGGCTACAACGCTGCTGGTACTGGCAACTATGTTGTGGCAAACCTTCCCTTCAATCCGATCACTGGCTACCATGAATATCGTATCGACTTCATCCCAGGAAACGTCATATTCTATGCCGATGGTCAAATCCTGGCAAAGATGAACAGCACCGCAGTTCCGACATCTCCTGGTCATATGATTATCACACAATGGAGCAATGGTAACCCTTTGTGGTCCTCAGGTCCACCATCACACGATGCGGTCATCTCAGTTAGCTATGTGAAAGCCTACTTTAATTCCTCGGATCCAATGCGCGAGATAAGTCTGACAAAACGATGCAAAGATCCTAGGGCTGAAAATGCCATTTGTGCCATTCCAGACCAAACTTCAGCCCCCAATCCGGATGGAAACAACGGTAATGTTTCAGCAAGTACATATTTCTTCAGTAACCAAAAGAACGAGACGAACAATCAGACAGTGTACAAAAAGAGCGAAGCTACCACAGCAGCAACCGCAGGACCTCATGGCTCGATATCGCTTTTCCTTCTCCTTTCTATGATCGCCATCGTCTTGCTATGAAAGTCCATTTTAGGTTGAGACGAGGCGTCCACCTTTGTGCTCATGGGAGCTTCTTTCCTTGACTAACAGCTTTACCAAGCATTCGATTCATGACTTCAGGAGTGATAACAGGAGAACAGGAGTTGAGGTTCACTTTGAAATTGCTTTTTTCTAGGTACCGGATGGGATACCCAAATCTTAGGAGGAATGGCGCTATTGCTTGATCATTGTATTATACAGGCCATACTAGAGGCGATGGTTATGCGTATATCTGTTTCTATCAAGCCCAAGGGAACATGTAGATCAAAGGTCAGGAACTCCTGGTTATTACATAATAGACCAAGCAGTAATTTTAGAGGGTTCTGGATCAGCGATGAGAATGCAAGCAGACTACCGAAGCAACGAATTGCATATTGAGGTTGAATGAACCTCTTTTATAAAACTCATAATACTTTCATTCAATCTTCCATTGCAAATTCGACTATCAATGATTTCTTAGGCTCTGTGATTTCATGGCAACATAAAAATGGTGTAGTTCACAATTGGAAACATAGGCAATCTCCGAGGTTTATATTTTGTTGCGCATTCCCCTGTCCATAGTGTGTTGAAGCATGAGATATCGATTATCAAGTGTATTATGTCCAGACACTTGTGTGAGTTTTCTTTTTAATGTGTTTTACAAACGCATCCTCATTCTCACACCCAACATTAAACGCCACTAATTAATAGATCACTTTCTCTTTTTAGCCGCCCTCTTGAGACCCCTGACATCCTTCTTCAGTCTAGCATCCACAATCTTGTATTTACCCTTGACACCCCTTGGTCTACCCGCAATTCCTCTATTACCACCAGTAGCGACCACAACCTTAACGTTTTGCTTTGGCTTCTTCTTTGCCGCTTTGCTCATCAGCTTTCCGATGCTATTCGCTTTCTCCTTCTCCGTCATGCCCTCTTCATCAGCTAACAATGCAGACTTCTTCCTCAATTTTTCGAGTCGCTGCGCTGCCTTGAACTTCTTACGGTCTTTAGCTTCGCGGACCTTCTTGATTGGTCGAGCGTTCAGTGCGCGGAGCTTCTCCTTGATAGCTGCAGCACCGGCAGCCGAAATTGGGCGATGCGGTTTATCGTGCTTGCCTTCGTCGTCAAGGAACCAGTCGGGAAGACCGTCACGGTCCTTGAACGCATATTTATTGAAGCTCTCATCGGCGAGGTCGTACATTGATTTTTGTCCAGAAGCGATTTGCTGAGCGAGGGTCATAGCCTCGGCAGTGATGATGTCGATGTCTAAGGAAGGTCATGTTAGTAAATTTATAAAAGCCCCGGGATAAGAAACCACATACCTAGTCGCCCATCCTTTTTAGGTTCTTCATCTTCCCACTGTTCTTCACCCTCTCTGCGTTTGACAACTTCGAACCCATTTTCATCATCGCTGCTATCACTTTCTTCGGGTGCTTCTTCCATAATCTCGTCTTCTTCTTCCTCTTCGATCACCCTGTCCTTCATAAGCTCATCGAGATCGGCTTGAACTTCTTCATCTTCCTCTTCGACCTCTTCCTCTGATTCCTCTTCGGGGATGCCTCCAATATCCTTGAAGATATCCTGGTCGAAAAATTGAGTTGCTCTTTTCGAAAGCCCACCTGTTTTCTTCTCATTTCGTTCCAAATCAGTCAATAAAGACTGTTTGGAAGGCCCTTCGTCATCAGAATCATCGCTACTGTCCTCTTCCAAATTTTCATCGTCACTCTGTTCTTCCGCTGCTGAAAATCCTTCCCAGTCACCATCTTCATGCTCCTTCCTTGCCTTCTTGGCGCGAAACTTTGCATCGGCACTTGATTTTTGTTCCTGATACATCTCATACATTGAGTCAAGCTCCCTGTCAAGTCGATCTTGCTCATCGTCGCTCTCGCTATCTTCAAAGGCATATCCACCTTCCTCCTTTCTAGGGTCGGATTCTTTCAAAATTGCCATTTTCCCTTTCGCAATTTTGTTTGCAGCACCGGCCTTGTCTATTGCTTTCAGTCCAAACATAGAACCTTCCCCGTTTGGTCCTGCTTGTTCTAAGCCGATATCTGTTGGTGCTGTCATATGCAACTGCATCCGAACAATCTCCCTTTGTTTCTTTTCGTTTTCTCTTCTCTTTTCACGCTTCTTGCGAGCGCTCTCCTTCTCGCTCATAGCCTGTAGTTCCTCCTGGATCTTCAACTCTTCATCCATATCTTCTACCTCGGCCACTTCTTCTGGCTCCGCCTTTGCGCCCTTCTTAGTAGCAAATCCAAACTTTTCTCGTACTTTCAAACGCCATTTCAAAAGGTTTCTGAATTCTTTTCTTCCAAGGACCCTTAGATCTGCACAATCGTTGCGAATTTCATCTGTCGTTTCTGGCAGCTTATCCAGTGCGGCCAGAGCTACATCACCATTTGGTGGTTGTACAAAACTGAGGCGATTCATGCTACCAAGAATGGCAATGGGATCGGTTGTTTGAATAAACTCGCTGGCCGGGATTTCTTTGAATTGTGTCATATTGTCGTCCTCATAACCGTCTCTCTTCCTTTTCTTGATCTCTGGATTGAAAACTTTGGCTTCATTATTGGGTGTAGGATCCGAGAGTTCTGCAAAAACATGTCGAGGGTCGACAAATTTGGGATCAAGATGCTTTGGCGCCTTGAATCCTTGACATACAACGAAAATTTCCGCGGAAACATTTCTGGAAGAGGGAGGTTTCGTTGCTTCGACTTTTGTGAACAATTGGTTGAACACCCACAGCAAACTATTGTAATCTTTGGATCTGAAGACTTTCGTAACAAATGTACCGCCTGGCGCAAGAAATTCTGTTGCAAGCTTCAAAGATTGGAGGGCCAATTCGGCCTGATTGAAAGAATCCTGAACCCAAGCAGTACCAACGTTAGGAGCTCCGTCGTGCAACACTGTATCTGCCTTCCAGGACTTGAAATGTGTACGGATGGTAGCGCGACATTTCTCGGTCGTAATATCGCTCTGAAAAGTAATAACTCGAGGAATTGGTTTAATGGGAGAAAGATCAACACCGACGATCAAACTGCTCACTGGCATTGTCTCTGCTGCGACTTGACACCATGACTATCGCATCACCAAGTCAGTGAAATCCAGACATGTCTTAAAGAATATACTCACTCCGGGAGCAGCGCAAAGATCCAACAAAACTTTACTCTTCTCCAAAAAGCCATATTTTTTATTCAATTGAATCAATTTGAAAGCAGCTCTAGCTCTGTATCCCTTCTCCTTGGCAAGCTTGTACCATTTATCGAGACGACCTTTACCATGCTTCTTCTGGATACCCATGATGTCGGGTTGTGACGAAGATACCTACTTGAGAGACGTGAGGTAAGTAAATTCAGCTCTCTTAATCTCCTGGCGATGAAGAAATCAAAAAAAAATCAAAGGGACGCTTATCTCCACGTGATCGTGAGATATGAGAAAAAGAAAAAACGTACCTAGCGGGCTAGCTCCTATGTAGCGTGATTCATAAAACGCGAACCAGGGATTAAGTTTAAAGTGGCACACGTCCAATAGATGCTTCTCGCGTCTCTTCCGTGGCTATCTCGCTTTTACTATTTTGTACTTCTATTTCATAAGATACCTGGTAACTCGATATGTGCATGCGCATACCTTTGCCTTTGCGGTTGCGTATTTCTTGAAAATCACTTACAACCCTTTAATTGTCACTTCTTTCGAATTTGTAATTATGTCTCTCTCACCTTCATCCCATTCCATGGATCTGCCATCCTCTCCCCCGGACATGACCATGGGTTCTCCTCAGCTTCCAAAGCTCCCCCCTTCGATCAGAGTGGGAACACCAAAAAAAGAACGTCGACAAACATCAATTACACCGAGAAGATTTAGGAAATTCTTCGACAATAAGGCTGCCACAATGTCAATCTCTTCACCTTCCGGCCGAGCCCTGAAGGCTTTAGTCAACAACCGTCAGGGAACACAATCCAGCCCCCTAAAACCTTTCAACAACATGAAGGATCTTCCAGGTCAGGAAAATGAGGAACTGGTTTCAATGCCTAGAGAATTTAAAAGAAGGAAGACGACTCATGGTGATGTCGGCGCGGATATAGGGTCAGACATTGATTGCTCGTTCAAAGATCAAACTCAGTATGGACAATCGCATTATGGTTCTTTGAAGATAACCTCTACATATCCAAAATCGCAGTCGATTCTTGAAGATGTGGAGGAAGAGGGAGTGGAGGGGAAAGACATCACTGAACCTGTTTCAAGAGAACCGTTGGAGCGCATTGTTCCCTTCGAGAATCGTGGTTTGAGTGCAAGGTTATTGCAATTGAGCTTGGGCACTTCCAGATCGAGACGAACCAATCTATCATACGCTGTCAATGATTGGCGAGATGAGACTGCATCGTTTTACAGTAGACCGGAAGATGTGAGCCATACTTCGAGTCTCTTGGGTGGCAGGGACAGCATACCATTTTGTAACGCCGGCCTGAATACGAATTCTCTAGTAGCCATTGGTGACGATGAAGGACGTATCAGATTAGTGGAATCCGAGAAGAATGGAAAGCCTTCCTTCAGCAGTGTATACCTCGGCTGGCAGGTTCATAAGAACGCGATCATCGATCTTTCACTCTCCGACGATGATTCTTTAGTAGCAACGGCATCCGGAGATCTTTCTGCCAAGGTTTCAGACATGACAACACAGAAGCCAATCTCTATCCTCGCGAACCATAGTGCGACACTGAAACAAGTCAGATTTCAACCGGGAGCGAACAACAAGAACGTGCTTGCCACTTCGGGCAGAGATGGTAGTGTTCAGATTTGGGACCTAAGGTGCAAGGGTGATGACGGCCCGATCATGGAGATGCAGAAGCTGCCAGGTGAAAGCATTCCACGTTGTGGCAATGTCAACGGCATTTTGAATGCTCATCACGGTTCACACTCACATGAACCGAAACCCACCGCAAATTCGCGCTCTCTTTCTGCTTCTAAAAACAAACGTATCGGTGACATATCCGTTACGAGTATTCAATTCCTACCACCAGGTCAAGAGCACTTACTGCTCACGGGATCAGAATCAAATTCTATTGTCAAGCTCTGGGATATCCGTAACTGTTCCAACAAGCGGAAAAGTAGCCAACCAGTTGCATATACTAAACAAATCCCTAGCCATGTCGGCAATCGTCCTTTTGGAATTACATCTCTCAGCATGAGTCACGATGGAAGCAGGTTTTACAGTGTTTGCAAGGACAATGTTGTCTACGCATATTCAACCTCGCATCTTATTCTCGGACATGCACCTGAGTTTGAAAGTGGTAATGGAAAACGAACAGCTCAACGGGCAGCACAAGAAGGCTTGGGCCCGCTCTATGGATTGCGACATCCTTCTTTCCACGTTGCTAACTTTTATATCAAGTCTGCAATTCGCAAACCTGTCAATGGCAACTCCGAGCTTCTAGCTGTGGGTAGCAATGATGGGACACCAATTCTATTTCCCACCGATGAACGCTACCTCGGCACAAAGGCTAATACTTCTATTCCACTTGAAGGCGTCGCTCGACAGTCCCGAACTCTAAGCTCCACGTCCTTGTCACGATCTGGAAGACTTCATTCAGCTCTTTGGGAAAGTAGGAAAGACACTTCAGCAGAAGACCCAGTACCTATCTATACCCACGGAACAGCGCTGATAAGAGGGCATGCAAGAGAAGTGAGCTCGCTGAGTTGGACAAGCAATGGCGAACTTATTTGTGCAGACGATGACTGGAATGTTAGATGTTGGAGAGAGGGGAGAGATGCTAGAGACTTGAGAATGGGTGGGGAGACTGGAGGAAGACGGTGGGGTTGTGGATGGGCAGATGTAGAAGATAATTATGACGATGAAGATGAGTAGAATATTGGCCATGAATCGGTGTTCTCCGGAGCGAAGAGAGTATTTCTTTCGGCATGGTCTCAATTTTGTGAAAGATTCGTGCCTACGAGTCAATTACGAGGAGCACGAGTTCCATTGTTTGTTCGGCGTAACAGGTATACCCCAGGGGTCATTATAACTCACTCACGACGCATTAGGCGATTAGTATATTTTATGTAGCACATGAGTTTTTAATGGTAAAGAGTATTATTTATAGGAGTTTATAGGTAAATCAACTTTCACCAATTATGAATGCCTTTATGATCTGGATCTGCTCTCGATGCCACGGAGTCCTTCGCTGCTCATCTCCTGGCCTGTAAATTTTTCTAATGTCTTCAAACAAATCGACCTGGAAGTATCATGTCAGAGTAAAAAACTTTGGAGTTAGTGGCGATGATATGAGATTTATTGATATGATGCTTTACTGGCATTGCATCCAGCACAAATTTTCTCCACATCAAAATCTTTCACTCGTTAAACCCACGAGACCAAATTTGGCAACATCAACCCTTTACTCTTCTGACAACTAACAATATCATCTTGAGATTCAGAGATGGACGCTCTTTCATCAGATCCAATAACGGACTTGTTGACTACATACAACGAGCTCAACTCATCCACAATAACTATTTTGGATGAGGCACCTTCAGCCCTTGAATTTATGCGCTTCGTTGCCCTGAATCGGCCGTTTATAGTACGAGGCTTCGCTTCGGATGTAAGCACCCCCTCTACTCCCTTTTTTGCCCCATGCTACACTTGCTCCGTATATCCTAAGGTATGCGCGTTTTATGTGTTAATGCTTATGGCTCCAGTGGAAAGCAACATCTACTTGGTCACTATCTTATCTCAGATCCACACTCTCGTCACATGAAGTGAACGTAGCAGTAACCCCCCATGGAAATGCCGACTCTCCTACCCTCAACGAAGACGGGGATTTGGTTTTTGTGAAGCCTTGGGAAGAACCTCAATCTTTTCCGGAATTCGTCGACTTTGTCTCGCAACAAGAATTGCATGAGAGAAACGAGGAAGAAGTGAGATATGCTCAAACACGTAAGAAACCATATCCAGCATAAAGCTACTATTCATTGGTACTATTCATTGGTCTAACACGAAACAGAGAATGACAACCTTCGCAATGAATATTCTTCATTGTTCTCTGATGTTGAACAGGACATATCCTTCGCCAGGATAGCACTCCAACAAGATCCCGATGCCATTAACCTCGTCGGTACCGCCCACCCTCTTTTCCCAAGAACCATATCTTACACATGATTTAGTGGATAGGAAATTCGCACTCCATCACCTCTCTCCACAAAGACCCTTACCAAAACATTTACGTCCAGATTCTCGGAAAAAAACATTTTACTCTACTTCCGCCTCTCTTTCACCCCTGCATCAATGAAGTGCCTCTTCCCTCCACTTCCTACGTCCGTTCTACGTCCGACCCCGCCACCCTCACCATCAAATCAGACTCACCTTCAGCGGAAGTGCCCATCGCGACCTGGGATCCAGATGTACCATCCAGAAACCCTACCAAATACTCGCATCTAGCTCAGCCAATGCATGTGACTTTGGAGAAGGGAGATATGCTGCATTTACCAGCATTGTGGTATCACAAAGTAGGACAAAGTTGTGGTGAGGATGGAATTTGTGTTGCTGCTAACTACTGGTATGTATTATTTTATTTTGACATGGTCTACTCTTTCATTCTGGTATTTTGCTAGGTGGAACAGCAATTGCCAAGTTTGCCCACGGGATGTTGGCATATCACGCTGGAAAATTTGATCGAGGTCACGCCTATTAGATACAGACCGCCATAAATATTTAAACCAGCCAACGTAAAGAGAGACTTGGCTAACAATTACATCATAGGTACGACATGGATTTCGGGGGAAGCTTTTGGCCAATGTGTAATTTCGTTCGAAGTGTCAGTTTACAAGACGAAGCGAAAAAGTAAAGTACAGTAAGGCTTGATTGGAGATAGATTCAAGCTCTTCGTTAACGTTAGAGTAAGCATGCAAAGAAAGTGGTGCGTGAACAGAGCGAGTGTTGAAAACAATCAATAGGGGTATCAAATTGTAACTATCCTAAAAGAGTGTACTAAGTACCTATGTACAGAAAAAAAGAGCCATCTAGTCATGACCATAGTCGTTGTGCCCTCATTCAACCTAGAGCTCTGAGCCAAACGCATCCGCGAAAGCTTGCACCACTTTCGTAACGTCGTAAAAACATCCCATACAATGCAATTTCTATCCAAAAAAAAAAGGATTTATTACATAACATAATACCAAGCTGCAAATGCTGCTGTCAATGCCACTAATGGTCCTCCAAATGTTAAGAGTCCGACAAATAGGCCTGTCCCCGAAGTTATAACATTCTCTTCTTCTGAGATTCCACTCTGTGTGGAGGGAGACATCAT